GCTCTATTCATATCATTGTGGGAAAATTCTACTACCAGTCCTTCATCACCTTAGACGAAATAGGGTGAATTCATTTCAAGCTTTAGTTATGTTCAGAGAAAATAGATTTTCGAGACTACTGGTCCTTCATTACCTTATGTCTTATAACTTTTATTAAACTAGTTACCTTTGGCAAATCTTGCAATTCCTGTTTATCCTGAGGCTGTTATAATCAACCCTTAATTTTGCAATGGTTTGGCCTCGCTTTTGCAACATGGTAATATTGTCGGAGACCTAGTTGATTCAACCTTGTCCAGAGTCCTTCGATCGACATAGTAATTATGATAAGTTCTAGTGTTGGACCATTGATCTGTTAAATGTACATGTTACTGGTATGTTTTCACGCTGGATATTAACATGGCTACTATGCTGGAGGACTCCGGGCAATGTTTGTTCACCGACAATATTACCAATTTGGGAAATAAGAGGTCAAATCAATTTTTACAACGAAAGTATACCACGACCATAATAAAAACCGCACCATCTTGATCTTAATATTTTCGAATGCATAATACTATATCTCAATAAGAGTGCCCGTGATTTGCCTAACTATCAAGTCCGCATCATTTGCCTCTAGTTGAAGTTTATTCTTTATCTATTCAGTATTGATCATTCGTGTTATTATTGTCGAACTTTTTCGTAGTCTCTTTTGTACATTCATCAAATGCATGTTCATTCTAAAAGTAAAAATTATCTAAAATGCATCTTATCTTGCTATAGCCCAAACATATATCTATTATCCACTTTTTGAAGTCATACAGAATTATACTCAATATCCGAAATAATCTGGCACTGAGGCTACAAATGAACCTGTATGTATGTTTTCTAGACTAGTTAATCTCGAAAGCCTACTTGAAACGAAAAACTAGTTGCCTATGCATAGATGAGTTTCCGGACAAACGAAACAGACACTTTCTTTAAAAACCAATCTTAATAAACCCATAATTGTGCTAGTTAAGAATATGAATTATGCGGAATAAATCATAAATCTGTTGTCAATCTGCAAATTTATCAGAGCCCAATATTTTTTTAAAACTCCCATCCTACGTATTACATTGCTAATGTATTTGTAGGGGCCTTATATTTGATTGTAATTTCACTTGAATACACCATTCCTGCCGTACTGATCTTCTGACCCGAACCTGCCTTTTCAATTGAAACGAAGGAATTCTAAAGCGAAGGAACATCAAGAAACTTAATATCATATATCAACTTTAGAAAAGATTTTTGGAACTATTTGGACCTGTGATTTGTCACATACTTTTGGAAAGTGTAGCATTATTTTGCTAAGGGAAGACTTCTTTTGGTTCTAGCTAATATACTTCACCCAAACATGGAGAACTGTTTTAAGCAAGCCAGATTAAGAGTTACTTAAGGACAAGGTAATTAGCCCTTTACACAGAAGTAAGAGAGGATGAGATCTCCCACATCAAGATAACGCTTTAGTTCAATATTTGCAAATAAACTCCCAATATAAGGGCAGTTGAATGGTAGGATTCTAGATTACATCTTAGGATGAAAGTAAACTACGCCTTAATATTTAAAACATTATGTGTTTTAGAGTTAACTAGCTAATCGTATTTGAAGGCAGAACTGAGGTCTAGGAAACAGGGTTGTCTATATTAATATACCTAGAGCATTCTTACGAGCTATATTTATCGGCAAACAATCGCAGAAAGTCCCACAGATTCTTCCTTGCGAACGCTTGGTTAATTGTTTGTTTCGGAAAGTATCCGAAAATGTAGTTAGATGGTACCAAAAGAGAATTCTGTCTTTAATGGATGTCGAGGGCGATCAGATAGACTTTCTGTTTTCAGTGCAAATTATGGCATTTACTCCACTTTAAAATATACAATTGGTTAGTGAGAAAACCAGTAATAATAGTGTATGAAGAGACATAAGAGTCTAAATGAAGGTGTGGAAATGCAATTTATTAACACACAGAAACACATGGCCAATATCAGATATGATTTTGAAGTCTCTTCGTTAGCAAGCTGATGTGGGTAAATGAAGAAACACAATGTTTGCAGCGAAAGAGAATTTGGCAAAACTCACGTTTATGGTGGTCAAAAACCTTGGACGTTTGTCTGTTGAATTGTGCGAAGAATTCCTCGGCTCACCGTACTACGATGGCTCCGTGTCGAGCTTTCGTCCGTCATGTCACGGACATCGTCAGAGCCAGCAATCATTATTCATGAACAATCAACAAAAAACTTAGATCAAGAAAGGTGGCCAGCTGAAATCCTACTTTTTATATCTCACGTTGCGATCTTAATGAGGTATTCTATAATTTGGTGGGCTGTTTTATGCTTGTGCTACATGCGTGCAAGCGGGTTAAAGTGATGCAGGAAGGGGGGCGGATGTAGTCACAACTTTTCTGTATGTAAATAAACTAGCGTATGATCATGTAATCCTGGGTCTTGTTAGAATTTCGTAGATGTGCGTTCGTGTGTGTATGCAACAACCACGAGTTGGTTGGGAATTTTAAGTCCTAAAACAGACTCAAGCTTGGTCAAGTCTTCTCTTACTCAGTGGCTCTTCCTGTTCCCTTATCCCTCTCTCTCTAATTCTATTTGGCAACCAGAGATACTTCTTACTTAGTTTCCTACATCCGTTTCTCTTATCCCCATATCCGGCAAAACTTTGT